TAAGGTCATTATTTGAGTGACATAATTAATTTTCCTTATTATGAATAATTTTTCAAACAGTTTATTTTGTTCCTGACTGTTTGGTGCTGTGAAGTAGGTCATGTTTTTCATCATGAATAGTTCTTCATGCAGAGCTACAGATAAGCAGTGTATTTGCGTAAAATACCCCCCAAAATATTAAATATCCCGATGACTTTCAAATAACTTGCGTACAGAAATGGATGCATTAAATGAAAAACTCATATATATAAAAACAGCACGTGTAAATACCCAATGAAGCTTTTTCAGCATGCTTTTACAAAGGAGCTAATTTCCGAAACACAATTACGAGCTAATTTACTTTCCGAGCCAAGCCTTTATATTTAGGACAGTTATATACATCTCAAACATTATTTCATTTTTTGATGAAAAAACATCTTAAAATGTTTACTAAATAGGGGAAAATGAATGATGAATAGATGAGTGAAAAAATATTGGTTACCCAATGAAAAATGTAATAACCAGATTAAAATAGAAACCCTAGAGTAAAAACTCCATTGCTCAAAAGGTTATCTGAAGCTCTGGACATGTAGAGTTCAGTCGAAGATGTATTGGTGGGTGGCTTAGTAAAATGCCAGGAATTGCACATCCCTGCATCAATACAGATGTTGTTTGAGAAGATTATTTGAATTCCCAGTTGCTGTGGTGAAATCCATTTCACTTCATCTTCATCTTCATCTTTATCTTTATCTGCCATTTAATTAATTTTCCTTATTATGAATAATTTTTCAAACAGTTTATTTTGTTCCTGACTGTTTGGTGCTGTGAAGTAGGTCATGTTTTTCATCATGAATAGTTCTTCATGCAGAGCTACAGATAAGCAGTGTATTTGCGTAAAATACCCCCCAAAATATTAAATATCCCGATGACTTTCAAATAACTTGCGTACAGAAATGGATGCATTAAATGAAAAACTCATATATATAAAAACAGCACGTGTAAATACCCAATGAAGCTTTTTCAGCATGCTTTTACAAAGGAGCTAATTTCCGAAACACAATTACGAGCTAATTTACTTTCCGAGCCAAGCCTTTATATTTAGGACAGTTATATACATCTCAAACATTATTTCATTTTTTGATGAAAAAACATCTTAAAATGTTTACTAAATAGGGGAAAATGAATGATGAATAGATGAGTGAAAAAATATTGGTTACCCAATGAAAAATGTAATAACCAGATTAAAATAGAAACCCTAGAGTAAAAACTCCATTGCTCAAAAGGTTATCTGAAGCTCTGGACATGTAGAGTTCAGTCGAAGATGTATTGGTGGGTGGCTTAGTAAAATGCCAGGAATTGCACATCCCTGCATCAATACAGATGTTGTTTGAGAAGATTATTTGAATTCCCAGTTGCTGTTGTGAAATCCATTTCACTTCATCTTCATCTTCATCTTTATCTTTATCTGCCATTTTGTGTAGTGATATTTGACCACTGTCTTCTGTTTGTCCAGCTTGAGGAACAAACACAAGCACCTGCTGTGCTCCATCCTCCCTAGCTTATCTCACAATCTTGACCATGTCTTGACAACATGTCAGAAGTGGCTCCACCAGTCTCTTAACTGACCACTGGTCATATTTGCCTATCAATCAAGGAGGTTCTTCTTATTCAACCATGGGGCCTTTGTTATTCAATAGTACATTGTGTGTTATTCAACAGAACACTTAATAGTGTGTTATTCAATAGAATATGTTACAGAGTGTTATTTAATAGAATATGTTACAGAGTGTTATTCAATAGAATATGTTACAGAGTGTTATTCAATAGAATATATTATTGTGTGTTATTCAATAGAATATGTTACAGAGTGTTATTCAATAGAATATGTTATTGTGTGTTATTCATTAGAAAATGTTACAGTGTGTTATTCAATAGAATATGTTACAGAGTGTTATTCAATAGAATATATTATTGTGTGTTAACCAATAGAATATCTTGAAGCGTTATATTCAAGAGAATATTTTACAGTGTGTTATCAATAGAATATTTTACAGTATGTCAATCAATCGAATATTTTACAGTGTGTTATTAATAGAACGCTAGCAGTGTTTTATTTCAACAGGACAATAATTATGAGAACAAGTATTTGAAATATGAGATAGGCAATATCAGACACAGATTCAATCACACATCCTGTTTCTTCATCATGATGTAGGCCCGAACTGACTATTAGGTCATATAATCTATGCTAGAGTGTGTAGATGCCATGGCACTCCGAAATGGTAGGCTGTATAAAGTATTTATAACAATATAGTGGCATGGCTTTTTTTTTTTTCATCAGAACTCCTCAATTACATTCGCTTTCAAAATGCAGAAATCAGATATGCTTGTCTGAATGCTTAGCTCACTCCTTCCAAGAATTTAGAGGCCTTGATGCTGATTGGCTGATGTGACCTTCTATAAAGGTGTCCTCAAATCTGATTTAATGAGGTTCATCTTCCTTAGGCAAGGGTGATAACTGACTATAAAAGTCCAGTTTCCACCCTTGCCTAACTAGGCTGGAAATTCTTGGCTCCATCGTAGCACCACCAGTGACCATTATGAGTTTGTCCTATCTATGTCCCCCTATTGACCAATCAGATTCCATTTCTCATATTATTTGTATTTGCTTCAAACAAAATGGCGCAGCCCAGTCAGGACGATCTGATCGATTATCAAGATCTATATTGTAATAAAACGAGACTTACTTTGCAAAGTGCATCAAATCATGTGATCACCTTGATTAAAAACATGAAAAAAATTGGAAAATATCTGTTGATGCTGAGTTGGCGATATACATGCTTTGGAAATTCTGCAATCAACCTAAATCTGCACGGCATTTTACCAACCAGATTGAGATTTCGTTATGGGCTATGCATTAGTCCAGACAAAAAATAATTCCCACTTCCAGACTAGTTCACCAAGGGTGGAAACTGGACTTTTATGGTCAGTTAACTCCCTTGCCTCAGGAAGATGGATGTGTGTGACTTAATAAGCTGTAGTATCTGTGACAACACAGTTGACTTATGGACTCCAACTGTCTTCACATCAGAAAGATTATATGAGTGCTTTCATCAGTTGTTACAGAAAATGCATACATGTAAACTGAGGCGCTACAGAAAGTTTCCTGAGTTTGTTTTTTAGGCATTTTGAAAATTGAAAGAACTGTTGTTAAATTTGATTATGTCTATTTAACTATCCCCCAACAGTTTGTAAAAATAATCTGTGGCTGGATAATTTTGTTTAAAAATAAACTGGTACAATGAAACTGGGGTAAGCAATGAATGTTTGAAATGTTGTAAATTTGTGCTGAAAGAAACCCAAATTTATTGATTTTCAAAGATAACATGTCTAAGATGCCCATCAGCAATTGTGTATTGTGAATTTTTTTATCATTTAAAAAAAAAATTAATGAAATTATTTTTTGAAAAATATAACCAAGTACATCTAGAAGTATTCTTGACTGATGATTAAGTGCCAGTACAGTTCAATTTTTGGATATAATATCGCCAACCTAAGATATTTGCAACTGAAAATCAAACATATGATAAAATCAACTGAGAGTTATGTTTCTTTGCTCCTCAGTTTATGCATGGTGTTTGTCTTACACAGCCACTGTTCCATCTTCTAAGGGAGTATGAAGGAAGCATATCCTGTCAGGTGTGATGACCTATCAGACCGCTGCATAGAGCTGGTCATTCTGTACATGACCCATCAAATTACTGTTTCTTTCACACCTGTGGGTGAGAAATCCATATCAGATGACTAGTATCAAACATATTTATGTATGAGATCAAATTCCAGGTCCTTGATTGGCTATTCCATCGTGATGACCTATGGTCAGATTATGACAGACTACTTTCTTGATTGTAATTCATTGATACGTTTCTTGGGATTCAGTTGATTTCATCTACATCTATGTCTAAACTTCATGTAGTGTTATGTAGTTTTAGTGTGTTTGATAAATTTTCTTTGATAGTTTCTGATTTGCATTATCATCATTGCCTTGATAATCCACAGATACGGTGGAAACTTCTTTGTGGAGGGTCACACAAAATATGTCACTCACAATATGCATCGTTTCAATGCTGTTATATATAAATGGTGCAATGTTAGGTTGTGTAAGAATCAGATTATTGTGACCTCATGGGTTCCGGCTATCAACTCTGGAATCCGTTCTGGGAATTGTTACCAAGGGAAAGATTTTTGTGATAGCTGTATCATTCATTCATTCTGTGGCGATTCCTGGTTCAAGTTGCTTCCAAGCAACTTATGCTGGTCATGGAGGCGATGAACTAACTGCCTTAGGTGGGTGTGTCGTTGTACCCCAATGGTGTGGAGTGTTGCTCATGATATCAATCACTGGAATATTTATTGGCCTCTGTTAAATACCTGGAATTTCACATTCATTCATTCATTCATTCATTCATTCATCTTCCCAAGGCAAGAGCGTCCACTAGCCTTTTTATCAAGGCCTTGTTTCCACCCTTGCCACATCAAGCTCACTTTCCTGTGCTAAATATGATTGGACTATCGCACATATCGATAGTCAAATCAGAGAACGTTTCACAAAATCAGCATCCTCGACTGGTACACCTTCGTATGAAAGAGATTTACCACTGTCTGTCCATGTTGACACGAATATGTCTTTTGTCATCTTTAAACCCCCTAATGATTGCCTATGTTTCTGTGTCAAGGATGAAATCGCAAATGTTTTTGATAAGAGATCGACCAGGTTGTCGCCTTTAGTAGTCACTTCTTTGTGAAGCTATACAAGATAAGAACAGCGATCTGATTGGATATCACATTTTCATTACAAGGGGCACAACTCGGATCTAGCGAGGTGGCGCCAGGGTCGAGGCAAGAAAAGTGGCCTTGATGTGGCAAGGGTAGAAACTAGGCTTTGATATAGGCTTGTAGACATGCTTGCTTCGGGAAGATGGTTATTCGTTTTTGTTACCCGTCTTCTTTGTGTTTTTCAGACACTCACAGCAAAGGATGTGACCTGTACAAGGAAATACAAGAAGGAAGAATAATACCTCAAAGACTTGTTTGTTTACTTACATCATCGACCAATTCCTTCCTTCCATTGAACAGTCCAGGGATTCCACTGATTGGCTGAACATTTTGAGATGTGTTGGTGACTCTGAATCACCAGAAGCATACCCCCATGAGAAGTCTTTTATTTCCAGGAATGTTAGTAACCTAGCAAACGGTTTTTGTGTTAAAATTGCTCATTGTCACAAAGCAAACTTTTTGTTTTGACTTGAAAACTATAAGAAACAAAATAAAATTTTACAAATAAGACAAAGGCAAAAAATTCAAATACAGTCTATTCACAATCAACACAATTCCAATGTATTCCTCAGCATGCAAAAATCTCAAGAAAGCCTTCATGAAATATTGTCCTGTAGTCTGAAGCAATCCATCACACCAAAGATTATTATTAAAATATTTAATTTAAAGAAAAAATAAATTCACAAGGTCTTTTCTTTGAGGTGTACTGTGACGTAGTCAGATTTCTTGCCAACAAAAAGTACATTGTTTATTTGCATATGTCAACAACTCTGAAATTCATAAAATCTGACTTGGCAATTGTTATCTGAACGAGAAATGGTTGTTATCTGATTGGGCAATGGTGTTATCTAATTGGGCAATGGTTGTTACTGATTGGACAATGAGTGTTGTTCAGATAACAGATATGTTTCTGTGATTCAGTACTTATCAACAAGTGATACCTGGCAACTCATATGAATGCATGCTTTAGTATATTGCAAACAAACATCTGACAACTTACAAATATTGCCATAGCTGTTCCAGGCCAGCTTTGAATTCTAATTTGATTCCAATACCAACTTTGTTTTAGAATAGTCTCCTGTAGAATAAGTCAGTTTTCAAGAGTTTGGTAAGAATATTTATTCAGAAACTAAAAGAACTTGACCCTTGGTCTCATCAAATAGTCTAGTCAGCACATATTTTGCCTTAGATAATCATTTCATGAAGTCAAAGTTCTTTTTAGAATAGTATTACCGATATGTAAGTTCATTTATGTTTTTTACAACATTTTTGTGAAATGTACTTAAAATCGATAGCTTGCATTTCATGAACAATGTTTACAGCCTGTCCTGTGATTTTTACCTTGAACATTTAGCAACATGTTTGGCATTTACCATGAGAGAAAAAGGATCATTATAATAATTTAATTTAATCATAAAATATATTACATATGACAATATGTAACTGTTTTAGCATTTTTATTTTTTTTATGATGATATATTGGAAGATATGAAAACTTTGATGGATAGTGTTCTCATTTACAAATTCTTCCATCAAGATGTTGAATGTTTTAATTGATAATAGTGGGTCATATTTTATCTGTGGGAGGACAAATATGTACTTAGTATGTGGCATCTTCCCGAGGCAAGAGAGTTAACTGACTTTAAAAGTCCAGTTTCCACCCACTGCCGAACTAGGCTGGAATTCCTGGGCTCGATCGTAGCGCCACCAGTGGTTATTACGAGTTATGTCCCTTCTAAGCCTCTCCTACAGACCAATCAGATTCCATCACTTGCATTTGTTTCAAACAAAATGGAAGACCCAGTCAAGATGATCTGATCAATAATCAAGATCTGTATTGTGATAAAACAGGTCTGACATCGCAAAGTGCATCAAATCATGTGAGCACCTTGATAAAAAACATGAAAAGGTTTGGAAAATATCTGTTGACGAGTTGACGGTGCACATGTTTTGCCAATCCTGCAATCGACCGAAATCTGCGTGACAGTTTACAAACCGGATTTCGATTTCATTGCACAATTTTGATTGGACTATACATAGACCCGATAGTCCAGCCAAAATGTAACTCCATAATACAGGCCAAGTTCAACAAGGGTGGAAACTGGACTTTTACAGTCAGTTAACTCCCTTGCCTCGGGAAGATGAGTATTTTGATGCTGTGAAGAAGTCAAAGAGGATTACACAATATTTTTTTATTGGGCTCACTGATTTACAGATATTGGAATACCTGTTACCATGGTAACATAACTTTTACAAAATAACAATTCTAACATTTCTGGCCAGTCTGAATTACTTTTTTTATTATTGAATTTATTTATTGAATTTATTCCAAATATTGTTGGGACCCAACTAAATACTGAATTAAGAACAATAGTTATTTCATGAACAGAAAGATATACTTTGAAATTCTTACTGTTGTTTATTGCTTTGTATAGTTTTACATAGGTTTAGGAGTGTGGGACACTGTGTGGTGACCTCATAGAGAATTGCTTGGCACATTGTCATGTTTGTATGAACTACAGCATATTAACTATGGCAATAAATTATTTAATCTTACATCATACTATTGTTTCTTTTTCATACAACTGAAACATGAGTGTTTGTTTGTTTGTTTAACACCGCACTCAGCAATATTCCAGCGATATGACGGCGGTCTGTAAATAGTCGAGTCTGGGCCAAACAATCCAGTGATTGACATCATAAGCACTAACCATGCAAATGGGATACAATGACATGCTTCAACCCAGTCAATGAGCCTGATCACCCATTAGTCACCTATGACGACAAGCATAGTCTAGTCATCTGTGACGACAAGCAGTCGCCTTTTACGGCAAGCATTAGTTGCTGAAGACCTATTCTACCCCGGATCTTCACAGGTGCTGTACATATGGCCTGATGAGGCAAAAGGAGATTGTTTCTCCAATTTATTATTTTTACCTCTCTACTGCCTGAGAGTTGAATTTTATTAAATTTGTCGCACGCATGCACACACCAACCGATGCCTACATTGTTATCTTCTCACAAGAAGATATGACACTCCACTAATACAGGATAATTATACAGTAATCATATTGGTCAATAAATAGAGATCTACTTTCTTCCTTGTGTTATTTAGATGAAAGTAAAAGAAAATCGCCGTTTTACTGGAGTAAAAAACACTTTAGTCTCGAACTACTTTCAATATACCTCACAGGCACAAAATCATGGAAGAAAATACATAAAAAGTAGAATATGTGTCTTTTTCATTTTGATAACATGTTAATGTCATTGAGTGACCTGCAAAGTTGATATTTTCAAAAAAAAATTCAAGTCAGTCTCCATATAAATTATCATGGTCATTGCATGCAAATTTGTACCCTGCTAGTGAGGTGAGGTGAAATTGGGTTTAACGTCGCGTCCAAGATTATTGCACTTATATAGCGACGTGCATGCACGTGTGTGTGTGTGTGGGGGTGTGTTTGTACTAGGCCGGACTGATGCCGATTTATAGTGCTAGCCCACTGAGATACCATGCCGCAGTTTAACATGAATACCCCACTCAGACACAGTATACTGACTCCGAGCCGACCAGTCCTTGTTTTACCCCCTTAATGCTGAGCGCCAGACAGGGTAACAAGTACCATCTTTTAATGTCTTTTGGTATGACGTGGCCGGGGTTCGAACCCCGGACCTTCCACTCTCCGGGCGGACGCTCTACCACTAGACCACGGAGTCGGTCGTACCCTGCTAGTGTTTCACCTGAAATATATGAGAAAGGTATGTTGTTTCATGTAACATCTTGCATGGAATGATTGTTGAGCTATCATCTGTTATTGACTCGCTGATCGGCATAAGTCAGAATAGGTAAATATGATGTTTCAGCAGTGTTTGCAAGGATCTATATTGTTTCTGTTTTCAAAGTGCAAGTGGAAAACGCACTGTTTTGTGGTTAAATGATACAATAGACCTACACTGTCGAATTGTTTTCGTCAACATGCCTTGTTTTGGCTGCCATTGTACCTGTCGAAAGCTCCTTAAACAGCTCCAACATTGTCTTAATTTTTGTGTTTGTTTGTTTGTTGTTTATCGCTGCTTTCAGCAGTATTCCAGCTATATGACGGCAGTCTGTAAATAATCGAATCTAGACCAGACAATCTGGTGATTGATATGAGCATCGATCCATGCAATTGGGATATGATGACATGCATCTACCAAGTCAGCAAGCCTGTCCACCCAATCCCGTTAGTCGCCTCTTACAACAAGCAGGGGTTATTTTTGTGGTAAACTTAAGATAACTTGGCGATAAGAAAGCTTTGAGAATAAACTTGGCTAAGATTTTATTCAATACAACGCCTTTACTCCAATCTTAGTTCTAAGCGTGCGTAGTGCTAAACTCAGTGCTTTGTGAGTAGGTCACCAGGCGTTTTTTCAAGTCAGGCGTTTATTTCTTCAGATGTACTGGCTTTTATTAAGTGTTGTATCAGGAGGTGAGGCTCAATGGCTTGGCTGATTGTGGCATCGTGCCCTGATGCAGACACGTTTTCATCACACTTTTAGACACAGGTTTGAGTGAGTGAGTGAATGAGTGAGGTGGGTTTCATGCTGCTTTTAACAGTATTCCAGTTATATCTAGGCGTGTCAGCTTTATGTGAGAGGAAAGCCCCAAGTGATGCAGGTCTCAGATGTTTACCACTTCGGTCAAACCCATGAGCATGGGTATGGTACTGACAAACCTAGAAACATAATCAGGGCAAACCAGGATTCGAACTCACAATCACAGGTTTCTGGCGTGCCCAAGGGACGCAACTCTGCACAACGAATCGCGGCGCCTTAGACGACTGGGCCACCCGTGCCCCCTCACAGGTTTAACTTGATTATGACAGCTGGGTTGCTGTGATAGGATTAATACAAATTGCTTACTGCGTCCTTAAACAACATTCACCAACTCCAAATACTTGTCAGTTCAGATGTTAGGGAGTAAATCACGATGAAGTCAACCAATGTCTGAAATGTAAAAAGCAGAATTTGGTAAAAAATCAAAATGGCAGTGTGACACCTATTGTGGGAATGTGAGCTTGTGATAATCGATTCATCCTCGATTATCCAGTCTATCATACCTCCATTCTCTTGTGATACATACACTTGACTATTGACTACCCTACCTTTGTTTTAAGTGTGGTTTGAATGACACAGTGCTAAAAATAGACCCCTGATCAAACTACACTGTTCTTATGTGATTGCAAGAAGTTGCCATATGACTCAACCTTTGGGTGTCAAATACAACCTCTAGAAGCAAAAGTAGAGTGAGGCAATACCTAGCCCCGATCAGCCTGATGGTTATATGACTTGAGGTCAGGGTGATGTGCCATGGTGGGCCAACACCTGCGTGAGGCTCGGTGACTTGGTTGATGGCATGTCAACACCTGCGTGAGGCTTGGTGACTTGGTTGATGATGGCTTGTCAACACCCGCGTGAGGCTCGGTGACTTGGTTGATGGCTTGTCAACACCCGCATGAG